TTTTTTGTTGTGGGGGGGGGGGGGGGGGGGGGGGGGGGGGGGAATTGAAACCCCGGGCTGGGACCCCTAATAGATCTTCCTCCACTAGGATCAGAAACTAGTGACTATGAAAAGATTTACGTCTATTTCAATGCAATATTTTCATTTATAGTTAGTAAAAACTGATCCAAAGCTTTTTGTTACACACCGGAAGATAATGAATAAAGAAAATATCCCATAACGAAGCTAATTTTCTGTAAATTGGGCCTTCCAGTGAGACATAAGAACCTGGAAACCATACACCTGCATTACCTTAATCCTCGTCCATTCTCGAGGATGACACTACTAAAGAAGAAAATGATCGATCATATGTTGGATGACATCTGCACCCTCACTATGCATGTAATGCTCTTTTACCTGAATAATTTTCCGATGCGACCAAAAATCAGCGTCTTACTTGAATACTCGACAAGAAATAGTAATGATATGAGGTGAAAGATAAAGACAGTGCTCCGACTCCTAAAGTTGAGAGTTCAAATGCTATGCCACGCGGTACATTGTTTGAACAATAAAATATCCTACCAAAGACCTCGTGCTCAGTGTGTCGCTAATGGAACTACAGCAATTGTAAATCCCAAAATTGCCTGGAGATGGAAATGGGATGTTCTCTACATGCAAGACTTGTGCCCGACTACTATAGAGGTTCTTCCTATGTTGAAGCAGAATAGGGATGGGTAGTCATGAAGCTTAAAACCTAATAATTTTCGCTTAGGTTTGATCGGTTGTTGCAGAATGATATCAGAGTTCAGTAATGGAAGCGAGGACATTGGCCCCCAGAGGAAATGTTGAGCGAAATGTTGAGCGCTATATATGCAAGACTTGTGAAAACTACTGTCGACGTTTTTTCCATGAGGAAGTGAAAAAGGGACAGGTCGTCACAGGGTACAGCACCCGACAACATCTAGTAGGCTTGACTCGTCATTGCATCAATATCTTAGTGGAAGTACAGAAAGGAATTTTTATCATTTATTCCCTCTCCCACAAGAGAGAGCATTCCCACTGTTCCCCAAGCAATATTCTGTGTACAATAGACATGCATACGGTAACATATACAAGCATGTAGCAGTAACGAGAGAGGGAGTGAAAGAGACCTGAATAACACTATGTGCAGCAAATTTAAGCTTGCTCCTGTGGAAGCTGACGTCTACTTTTTCCCATGTCAAGCGAGATAGGCCAATCAACAGCTCCTCTGCATCACGTAACCCAGCATAAAATTAATGCATCATTCAGAATTAATGAACATAAATTTTCAAAGGGGCCAATGAGAAACCCACTACACAAGAAACAGAGTTTTGAGTAAGAGATTGGCACGGATAAGTTAAAATGAGAAGTGCATACAGATGTTGCTTGTGAAATCTTCTAGAGAGCATAGAAGAAGACAATGTAATAGATCTACTCATAAAGCATTAACCATGAAGTTCCTGAATCTTGTCAGGAAAAATAAAATAAAATATTATAGGAGATTCTGGTGATACTAAGGTCCATCGAGTTAGCCTGTTTGTGGCTCCAAGTTGCTTTTTCCTTTTATTTCTTCGTGGGAATGTAGGGACAGATTTTTTCTATGTATATCTTTGGCAGGGGAAATCTAACTATATTAACAGCATTAAAGTTACTGATTTAATGACATGAAGCATAATTGAGAAATCATCTAGAACATAAATAACGTGCCCCTCAAATGATTAAAGCGTGTAAAAGTGTGCACAAAACAGAAGGCAGATGAAATAATCCTCCAACAATAGTTATTATATATTCACCATGCAGATTGCTCACATTATGGACTTGGCAGAAATAGTTTCCATGACATGCTAAATTCTTGGTGATCCTATATTTCTAGAAGGCTTTGAAGTTAAAAGTAACTCTCTGTTGGATTTTGCAGGAAATAAAAATTTAAAAGCCAAAGAAGTTACATATTTGGAAAAAAAAAAAATCTAAAATGTGAACTTTACCTAGTAAGTTCGCATAGAATAGCTTACCAAATACTCAAACTCTTTTAAATGAACTGCTAAAATCCTTAAATCCACTTGAGAGTATTTCGAATCATATTCTTAATATTTAAGGATAAAATAATCATTACTGTAAAATCATAATCCCACTTTTAGCAGTCCAGATAAGTGAAAAACTACATTTTGGCAGATAGTACCAATAAATCGTCATTCGGATGTGTAGGGATCACCAAATGACCAGGTGAAAAGAGAGATGCGACCAACAAAAGCAGCAACACAGACAGATGTTAAAGAGCAGCATAAAGTCACATAATTATTGACCAGACGTGAAAATAACTTACAAACCTTCCATCTCATCTAAACCATCATCATCTGTGGAAACAGACTCACGCTGCTCTCCATCGCTTGCTTTGCAACGCTCTTCATAAACAATATGAGGATATTTTTCATCTAGTGAATCCTCCCACTGAGAGAGGATATTTTACAGTCATGCAAATCGCAATAAAAATGTAAATGCTTGATTAACTGAATGGTGATAACATACCTTGGGCAGTTCAATATTACGTCTTATTGAAGATGTTCTCCAGCCTACTATATCTAATTGAGATTTTCTGAAGGAAGACAAGATGCTAGAAACCAACAGTGTAAAATCTAGTAAACATTTAGCCCAATAAAATAAGTAAAAATATAGTAAGGTCCACAAAATCAGGATACGGTCATAACCAACATTTGAATACGCCACCCGGCGTTGAAATGAACGCAAAGCAGACCTGCATAAATGAGTTGTAAAACATAGAGAGACTTGCACGTCACACGTATTCATGCATACACATGAATATCTCGAAACAGCCTGGAGAGTGTCAAATCTAATCAACATAAAGGAAGAGGGTAGAAGAAACATACATAAAATGTAATTCTCCTCTGTCTTCTAGCATGCATTTTAATAATGGAGGCTTTCCTTCATCATCATCTGTAAGAAAGAGGTGCCGACCCGTTCTTCTGAATATCAAATGAATTACACAACTAGCTAATCTCTCAAAAGCAGGTACTCCAAAAAGAAATGGTACCTAACAAATAGACAAAAAAGCAATTAATGCTAAAACAAATCCAAGAATTATGACTGTGATTCCGCATGACAATCAAGAGATTCAGAACTGGTTTAATATTAAAAACAACTTAAAGATCAGCATTAATGCGGTGTCCGGATCAGGATCAGAACATCTCTTCTCCCTCAAAGCTGGGGTAACAGATCGGGAAAAAAAAAAGTCTATATCAGAAACTGGTGTCATTCACGACAAACCCAAATACAGACCTTTTTTCCCTCCCATCGACGCAATATAGGTTACGCTCTTGTCCCCTCATAAAAGATTTAACCACGATAGATTCATAAAACTCACAAGCAACCAAGTGTAAACTATATTCAGCTCACATTCAGAGATCTAATGTCTTTGATTGCATAAGAAGGCTTAGTTTGCATCCTACAGGCCAAGTTCGTCCTTGCAAATTCGACGTGCTAATTGTGAAAAGGATACAAACTATGCAGTTTACCAAAAGGTCCAAGAAGTTAAGAAGATAGTTTTCCAAGAGCCAACAGTCCTTTAACTCTAATATGAAATCCCAAAAAATGGACATCCAGCTGCCCACGTGCTGAACAAGCAATTCCATTACTGAACTGCCGAGGTAATTCTAACAACAATCTTAGCAAGGTATAGTAAAAAAATTCCCAACTCACCACATCCCCAAAACATGACGAATCTATTTGGTAATATAAAAGGGGCATGACATATAGGACAAAATATTATCTGAAATTAATGCATTTTATCATTGTCTCGAACATCCAACTTCTTTTTAAAATGAGAATCCCTACAACAAAAAACAAAGCAACTAGGTACCTGCTTATTACCCCTTGAACCAAGATGAGGAGTAGCAAAAGTGATGAAGTTTATTGGTTCCAGACCAGCTATTGTACCATCTGACTCTTTTTCATAGGAAGTAGCTGATAACTCTGAGCTTTCCCTATTTGGAGGTCTATATAACCTCCCAATGGCATATCTTGCAACTAATCCTCCCACAGAATGTGCCACAAAAGAAATTTTCCTTAAATCTGGCTTCCGTTTTATCACATCAAGTACCTATAATGCAGATCTAAGTTAATATCAAAAGATTTAGACTAATCTCAGCCAATGACATATTTCTCAAGAAAAGGGCACAAGGAGAATGCAAAGGAGGATCCATAGCCAAAGAAAATCAACCTCCTCAGCCAACCTCTCGCCCATTACATCCACACCATCCAATGTCAGCTTAGCCATATTCCGTTCACTGCCTGCATACCAAATAATACCCTTTAGTAAGGTGAGATAATAAGCCACTTTTAATTGACCGAGAAACACAAAAGACGTTAAATCCTAACATTTTTCCAGATAATGGATATCAGAAGTGCCATTATTGAGTACACTAAATAAGTGAAAGTATGAACCCTTCTTATTTTCAAGATAAATGAACGTGTAAAAATTAATAAAGCCAAACCGCCTTGGCAATTTACATTATACAGTCTATCAAATATAGCTACCGCGTAATCCTTGATAAAAAAAAAAACATGAAACTACACTCATGAATGAAGAGTAATTAACCAATCCATGGTAAACTTATAGCCTTCTGAAGCTCCTTCATAGAAAAACTAAGAGGAAAATGTTGTACAAGTGTGAGGTTATTCTCTTCCTTAAAATAAAATCAAGTATAAAAACGAGATAAATGATGACACTTTGAAATTCTAATGATAAAGAAGATCAAATCGACAATTAGAAGAGAGCAGAATATAATTTACAAATCTTTAGATTGATGACATAAAAATCTAAAGAGCCTAACGTTACAACTAAAGCCCCTGTTTGACAACAATTATTTGAACATGTTCTACACGTAAACTAAAAAAATTTCCCTAATTTTTAACCACACATTCTCCTAAAAATCACAATTCAAAACTATGTTTTTTCAAAATAATGGTTCTCAAACAAGGGCTAAATGTTGCGTGTGAACAAAAATGCACGCCAAGAAGAATTTTGCTTAATGAAATTCAACTGAGTGTCTGAGTGGAGTGTTTTATTTCAGAAACTCAGCCTACTCATGAAACCAGTGGTCATATTACATTACAATTAGATAATTTCTCTAATCATAAGGAACTAAATGAACCCAGTTTCAACTTAAGCGATAAAAAAAAAAATCACAGAAAACAGGGATCAGAAACAGCGGATAGATTTTCACTAATAAACGTAAAACTCACAGTGAACGAAAACTTTATCAGGGAGCTTTGAAACAAACCGCTCGGCAGCGAACTTCCAATCCCTGGCACTGCAACAATGTAAGAGATTCAGGAAAACAGGTTATAAGGACAGCTTTTTGTATCAAAATGGACAGTATATAATAAATAATAGAGAAGCATAAAAGTCCGATAAAAAAAATTTAGTAAAATCAAAAACCATAATAGATTTTGCAAATCAGATTATACATGAGAAAACCTATAATGTACACAAACAGTTAATTCACACTCAATTGTGCACAGATACACTGAAAGAAGCTACTAAAAAGAACGGTCTTGATCAAGGACATCCCATTTGAAGTTCTCCTTCACAAAAGAAAAGCTCAAATTCTAGCTAAACATTTCATATACACACACAATTGTGCACAGATACTCAGAAACAAGCTACAAAAAAAGAAATGTCTTTATCAAGGAGACCTCGTTTGAGGTTCTCCTTCAGAAAGGAAAGCTTAAATTCTAGCTAAAATAAAACAATACACTCCAATTCAATTTTTATATTACTAAAACTAGATTATTATAGTTAATGAAAAAAATAAAAAGTAAAACAGCCAGATTCCCCCCTCCCTCCAGAAGGACAAATTGACCCCCCAACCCCCAATGAAACTTCAAACAGCGCTTAATCCAACTTTTGCTAAAATTGAGCTTAATTTCATCGAATTGATGACTGATAACTGATAAGCCTACATTAAAAGAAAAAATCAACAAAGATTACGCATATTTACATATATGAATTCACAGATAAATAAAAAAACAAAATCATTCATCCTGGCCAACCGCATTGATGTTTGAATCTTCTACTAATATCAAAGTTAATTCAGTCGAATTTAAGATCTTTCAAATTCCTGAGAAACTTAAAACCGAAAACTGATGCATACTAACATACAACTGACCATAATTTCAAAATATTCATGTTAACATACAATAAAATAAATATACCTTCCCAGAATACCGTGAACCATGATAACCAGATGATCAACAGAAGAAGCATCTGACTGTTTACAGCTATACACATCCTCCCCTCCATTCTCCGTTCCCGATGAACACACAAAGCCTTCTTTACCTTCATTTTCCATTTCTTCACGTTCGATATACTAGATTAATTTATTCTAATTTATTAATTTTAACTTCACCGACTTCTCATTTAATCAAAAACTGTACAAAATTCAAAACAAAAAAGGAATATTTAGATGTTACAATTTATCAAATCAAATTTATTTTGTATCAAATTGGAGTTATGAAATAATGAGCGCAGAGTTGCTGAAAGATGATCGGAAAAGAAAGAGAGAAAGGGAGAGAGTTGAGACGAGAGAGTGTGAACGTGGCAATAGATGAATGAATACTTCTTTGGGGTTTGTACCTTTGCTTTTACGGTTTGTACAGTGGCGAATTTTATGCATGCGCAGAATCGGGTCAAGTTTGGAATTTGGACCAATCATACTCATGGGTCGGCTGGTGGTTTTTTTTTTTCCCCGGTAATTTGGGTGAGCTGGCGTTGTTGGATAATGTAATGTTATCGATAATTTGCCGTAAAGAAAATAAAGAAAAAGGAGGTAAGAAATTGGTTTAGCACACCAAGTAAAGCTTGTTTATCAAATATTTTTAATTTTTTTTTAAATTATATTTAATCATAACTTTCACGGGACTGACAATTTTTATTTTTTATTTTTACTTATTAGCCACACTTATTTCAAAAAATTATTTTTTCCTTGAAAAGAATTGTACCAAATAAATATTTTTTATGACGGTTGAAATTTTCAAACAAAATATTTCAACTTGATATTGATGTGGTTAATATTATGAGTTTAACTCAGGTCATCATTTTTCGAAAAATAATACGTGAATTTGAAGCATATTAAAGAAAAATTTAAATAGGTAATAGCGACTTCTCGCAAGATGTTTATAATTTTAAATCAAACGTACATTCTAGTTCTACTTGAAATTGGAGTTTTGAGTTATGATCGAAATTCAACTATTTCATTTGAAAATTAATTAGAGTGTGTTTAATTGACTTTATTTTTTATAGAAAAATGTCATTTTTCATCAAAATTCCTATTTTTGAGGTGTTTGATTGACAAATTCTTTATGAAAAATATTTTTCAATTTTTGGTCATGTGACCATATTTACCTCAAAAATAAGGAAAATATTTTCTTTAGAGAGTGTTGGTTTTTATTTTCTAGATAATTCAATCTCTCTCATTTGCCCACCAATAAAAAATGGACGAGTATAGTATTTTCTAAACTGAAAAATAAATCAATAAAATATATTTATTTAATAATTTCCATACAAATAAAATTTAATTCCCTATAATTTATTTGTTTTCCGTGTAAATTTCATGTTTGTAATCAAACTCACCCTTAGCATGCAGAAAGAAAAAGCCCAACCTATTATGACATTTGATAACCATCATTATTTGAGAGCTTGTTTGTTTAGGATTCTCAAATTCTACAGTAAATCAATTCTCATTTTCAACCACACTTTATTCAATAAAATAATATTTTCTATCACATCAATAATTTTTTCTTCTTTTTCAACCACACATTTCTCATCATATCACTATTCAAAAATCAATTCTTCCCCCAAAAATTTCAAACAACCACCTCCTAA